TTATAGAGTGTGATTGTAGCTTGGCTATATGGCAGCAGTTGCTGACTCTTCTTGTGTAATATAGGGAGAGAAAGAGTCCCCCAAAGGTAGAAGGGGGAGCACAAAACAGCAAAACAACACCAGCAAAAAAATAAATAAATAAAACAAGAAAAAACAACAGCAGTCTGTAGTCACAGAAAAGGGAGAGGAGGGAGAGGGGAAAAAAAAAAAAAATCTGTAGCCTAATATGAGTATGACTTTAATGTCCTCTCTTCAGCTTCTTGCTTTCAAAGCTGCCTGAGAGATTTCAGGATACCACTGTTGGTTGTTATGCCATACCTCAGGCTTTAATTTAATTTTGGGCCTGTTTTGTTTTTAAACTCTCTTTCCCTCTCTACAGCCCTGTGCTGCCCTTTCCATATTAAAAAAAAAACAGAAACAAAAACAAAAACAAAAAAAAGTTCAGGGCCTGCTCTTGGGCTGAGCCTCTGTGCGCATGTGTGGCACAAGAACACACCAGTGGTGAGGGTGGGGGGTATCCACTTGCTCAGGCTCTTCCTCTAGTCACCAGAATGGAGGTGCACAAACAGTGGGGGCACCAATGACCAGATACCAAAAAAAAAAAAGGAAATCAGAAGAAAGCAACACTGACAAAGTGTATTGTCCATCTTTGCTACAAGCTTCCTGTGGCGTTTTTCCATGGTGTTTCTGCTCCCCTGCTTGGTCTTGCCATTTGGTCTCTCCCAAGATGTCGGCTCCAGGTCTATAAGCCTGGGAGATTCAAAAGTATGCGATTTCTTACGTCAGCTTCAAGTTCCACTAGCTATAAGCCTTCAAACCTTTAAAATATTCCTATCTCTGTGGTTCCAAGTTTTGGAGCTCTGCCCTGGATCTGCTTTGCCTGGTATTCTGTGATATTGCTGACGGTGAACTTCACTGCACCTCCACCCTAGCCACCATCAAGCTCCAACGTTGTTTGATTTCTTGACTGCTGTTTCCATGAATGTTGATGGTGAATCTGAGCAAAATGAAGTTGTTGACAGCTTCAAATCTTTTCTCCATTAATATGGATAATATTTCTTAGTCTGGTGGTGAGAATATTTGTTTTATTTACATTGAGATGCAACCAATACTGAGGCTGTGGTCTTTGATCTTCACCAGTAAATATTTTCAGTCCTCTTCACTTTCAGCAAGCAAGGTTGTATCATCTACATATCGCAGGTTGTTAATGAGTCTTCCTCCAATCCTGATGCCACATTTTTCTTCATATAACCCAGCTTCTTGGATGATTTGCTCAGCACACAGGTTGATAAAATGATGGAGAGGGGGAAGAAAAAGCACTGTGGCAACTGTTAACAAATGGTGAGCTAAAGAGTATTAGGCTGTCTGTTGTAGTTTTTGTTTTTCGACCTTTACAGAGATTTGAACACCATAAAGGTAAAATGTTGGGGAAAATCATCACAGCACTTGTCAAATCTGACAGGGACTCCTGAAAGCATGAGTCCATCAGGAGAGGCCTGACCTATATTAGACACAGAGGGACCATGAATTTACTTGATACGGCTTTTCTATCCAAGTCTTAACTTCTACCAAACGTTTGGAGGTTTTGAAATTAAATGCCATGGAGTCGGTCCCGACTTTTAGTGATCTGTATAAAGTTTCAAAGGAGTGACTGGTGGGTTTGAACCACCAACATTGTGGTTAGCAGTCCAGTGCTTATCCTACAGTGAGTGCCACACCAATTGATTGGGTTCTTGTTAAGTGTGTGGAGTCGGTTCCAACTTACAGTGATGTTGTATAGGGTTTCCGAGGAGCAGCTGGTGGACTTGAAACGTCGACTTTGTGGTTCGACATTCAGTGCTGATCCTATAGTGCCACCTGAGGTATTTCACATTGATGCTCCAAGGCAGCCACATGAGCTTGGGCCTTACCCTTTGCTGAGTTAGAGGCCAAGGACTAACATAGCTAAAGAAGCCCATTGTCTACATGTCAAGAACCAATTTTCTTTTAAAAAAAGATTGTTTTTGATATAAACCTACTGTAATGCAAGGGTTCATCACCTCTTTTTTAAAAAGAAAGTATCTTAAATCTATTTTGTGAAGTTTTAAAGAACAACGTACTCAACCATTTGCATTAACAATATTAATCCATGAATAAAAGGAGCAAACATAGTATTTGCCTTTGGCAAAAGGACAAGTTATTGAAGATCTGGCTGAGTAGAAGTCTCCTGTATGGTCCCACCAGCTCTACATGGCTAAGGGGTAGTGTGGTGCCTGCTCTGCCTCAGCCTCACTGACTCACACGGTACTTTACTATCTACCCAGACATTTGTATCTGGTGTAGACAAGAGGTGAGTATATTGTTCCGTAGACTTTGCTTCTTTCCAAGTCAGAACTGGGAAAGCAGAGCATGTATTTCACTGGGGCACTAGCATCAAGGGGCGCTGGTTAGATTAATTGGGTGGGACCATGCAAAGAGAGTGGATAGGAGTCTTCACTCCGGATTGGTGACCTCTGCTCAGGAGGGAGAGAGGACCCCAGGGCCATCAGGAAAGGGCTAGGAAAGGAAGCATTGGTGGTAGCAGAGGCGGTGGCATGGAGACAGAGCAGTGGTGGGTTAGCAGTCCATGGATGTAGTAAAGCCGAGTGCCCTGGGCCAGGAGACTGCCTTGCAAAGGGTCCTCTGGGTATTCCCAGACTGGCTAAAGGAGCATTGTAACACTTGCCTGAACAGGGCGGAGGGTGAGGGGCCGGAGACAAGAGCGACCCTGCATCGTACCCCGCTCACCTCCCTGAAACCCCGTACTCTTGTCTCTGAATCCTCTGTACCACTGTAGTGGCTTACTGGACCCAGCACACAAGTAGGGGTGCTGTGGGAGGTGGCAAGGTGCTGCAGCGAAGGCTGGGGGTGTGTGTGACCTCAGCCTCGCAGGAACTGTCCTGGACTGATTTTGAATTTGATGCTCCTTCCCATCTGAAGCCCAAAGGTCAGGCAGAGGCCCTCCCTGCCATCTTTGCAGACACATGGTCACCTCCAGACTTGGGAGCCAGCCTGTGTCCTAACTGGAGCACAAGAGCATCAGGAGGCTGTAAGGGCAGTCCAGTTCCTGTGGGGAGCCACCCCAGCCCAGGACAAAACCCACAGCTAGGAGCTGGAACCAAGCGTGCATCAGCACCTTACTGGAGTGAGGCTCAGATGGGCCCTGTCCGGTTATAGAGGCAGTGTACTCACCAGAACTCACTTCCTGTCTGAGCGTCTGCGTAGATCCACTTAAAACGAATCAGCAGGAATCTGATTCACAAGGTAAAGTGTAAAAAGTCCCTAGGCCCATTCAGTGCTTCTTTGATCATGTGAGGGCATTAGCTCTCTGCACCACCTGTGTCACTAGCAGCTGGGATGGGCTCTCAGATGTCACGAAGACCAGACGCAGTGGGTGTTAGAGGATGGGAGCTGGAACCTGCAGGTTGATTGCTGGGCCCAGTGCTTACTGAAGGCAGGGGAGAGCTAGTATATCCACAGCTGAGCCCTCAGTGGTGCTGACCCTGGAGCGCAGGGGAGCTAGAGAGCTGGAGCTACTTTGACTGTATCCAGGGACACTGTTATGTACTCCACAGCTGTTAACCTACCTTTCCAATTTCCAGCCTCTGACTTGTCTTTATCTTCAGATTTCTTAGAATCTGAATTCTAACAGAATCAGAGAGTTGGTCTCATTCAGCCCTGCCTGCCTAAGGCCCATCCTCTGGGACCCCGCCCATATGTCCTCTGCTCTGTAGTCTCTGGCCAGCCACCCTCCCTCCTTGGTTTTTGCCTTTCTCCTGCATAGGGTATGCCTCTGGTCCCAGCGTTCCGTGACTCCCCAGGGGAGCAAGGCACAGGTGGGCAGACAGTTGTGAAGAGCAGGGACCTCCCTGGAGGTGACATGGCAACATTTGGCTTCCTCTAGGCAAACCTGGTTTCCTGCCCCAGACAATCCGTCAAGAAAGATGTCCCCAGCTTAAGTCAGCTTGCAGAAAATTCCAGGGAAAAGGAAATATACCACAGGGGTGTGTGGAAGCAGCTGGACTTTGGCTGGGAAGTCACAAGGTATGTAGGGTCCCAAATGCAGTCACTAAGTGCCAATGAATTGGTTCCAACTCACAGAGGCTCTGTATAGGGTTTCTGAAGAGTGGGTGCTGAGTTAAAACAGCTGACCTGTGGCAGAGTGCTTGTCCAAGGGCGACACGCAGGGACAAGAGGCACCACCTCACCCTGAACACAAAGGAGGACTCAGCACAGCCCGAACAAGGGAGTTCTTTAATAGAGATCAATACAGACAGGAGACACAACTGGTGCCTGGCCCTCAGGCAGGTTCATGGGCCCCAAGCCCACAGGGTGCAATGGCTCTCTGCACCCCACCCTGGATTCCAGTCCACAGGTGGACTCAGGAAAGATGGTTTAAAAAAAAAAAAACAGGGCAGTACAATTCTTCACTTTCACGGAGAAGGGGAAAGAGTGCAGATACCATTACCCTGGTGCCTGGCTCCAGCCGTCCACTCAGCCAGGAGGAGAGAGCACGCTGAAGTCACGGCTGCACGACGGCTTGCTTTCCTCCACGTAGCACTGCTTTCCCAGCTTTTAGTGTTTCTACACTATATACATGGTTGTGCTTTATAGTCAATCCGTTCTCCCACCTTAAGCCTTTCCTCTGAAACTTAGGCTGGGGCAGAGTGCCCAGTGGGCAGCTGGCTCTGCCCCAGCCATGGAGTCGTCACAACAGGAAGGTCAATGTTGGAATCAAATGCAGGGCGGGCAGTAGCAGGCAGAGGTGGGAGGATGAAGTGGGGCCAGGGCAGGCACTGCAGCCAAACCTTTTTCATTGTAGGGAGCTTGATGGTAGGATGGGGAGGGTCCGGCTGCCCCGCTGCCAGTCCTGACCGTCCACAGCACTGCCTCTGCTGTGTGGGCTAGGGTCAGGCAGCTGTGCACTGGAAAGGGTGAAGAGTGGCTGGGAGGTAGCTGACCAGCTGGGCAGGTAACACAGATCAGTTGTTCTCAAAGAGGGAGAGCAGGTCATCATTGCTGTTGGTGGGAAGGCCGGGTGGGCCCAGGTACGACAGCAGCTCATCGGGGTTGGTCAGCTCCGGTAGCAGCTGAGAACAAATCAGGTCACTTACACAACGCTCGTCACCTGGCTCTAATGGACAAAGGCCTGTGTCCACCCACATCCGTCTAGAACTTTTCAGATGAAGACAGACACCAGGAAATGTGTGCCTGCTCAGGGAGCCCTCTGCTCGTGGGCACACAATGCCACACCCTCCCTGATTGGGGGAAGGGGGTTACTCACGTCCAGAGCCGGCTCCGGGGCCTCTCCGCCCGCAGACATGCTGGTGGGCCCCATCGCGCTGGAAGTGGCATTGAAGGCCAGCTCACTGGCAGGCCCTGAGCTTGCTGGGCCCAGGGGTGGGCGGGGTGGTGGGGGAGGGTTCTGGTGGTGCAGCTGTGGCCCTGGCAGGGCCCCGAGGTTGGGGTTGTGCAGGCCCTGTGGTACCATCTGAGAGAGGAGCGGACGACTTGTTATAACAGCCCAGGGCCCTTAGGGCTCGCCGTCCCTCCTCCTCTCCCTGCTGGGCATGGAACACTGACCTGGCTGGGGACGAAGGAAGCAGGCTTCTCGGGGGTCAGGAGACTGCTAGGAATGTCAGACTGGTAGGAGATGGGTGGAGGCCCTGGGGTAAACTCGGGAAGGGCTGGGGCGCTGCTGGGTGTGGTGGGTGGGAAGGGTTCAGGGAAATTTCCAGGCCCCGAAAAACTGGAACCTGTGAAGACAGAGTTGGGATCCCTGTGAGCGCCCAGCAGGGTGACTGGCAGAGATTGCAGCCAGGAAGGGAAAGGGAGGCACTGCCTTACACCCTGTGGACCTGTGGTCATCCGATGTTATTAAGAGGGGTGTCCCAGCCTCCTTCATACAAGGGTCAAAGGCCCCGCAGGCACTGTGTGGTCTTCTACTCACCCTGGTTGGGAAAGTCGCCAGGCGCGGGGCCTGAGGCTGGCTGCAGGGTGGCACAGGAGGCAGCATTGGGGCCCAGGGCGGCAATCATCTCCATGACGCTGGGCATGAGCACGTGCGCGGGGCTGACGGTGCGGCAGCGCTTCAGGACCGGCCCATCGGGCTCCTCCTTCAGGTGCAAGTCAGGCTTCACAGGCACTGGCTTCCAGCTACACGTGGGGTCGATGGTCACCTCTTCATAATCAGAGCTGGGCAAGGAAATGGACAACAGTGAGGGATCTGCCTGCCCGACACACACCCAAACACCCACGCCACCTGTCCCAGAGCCGTCGCCCCACAGATGAGGGTCAGAGCAGAATTACTTCTGGATGTAGATGAGGACCCCCAGCATGTACTGGTCCACCTCCAGGCCCTCCAGCAACGCAGTCTTACTATGGAGTAAACAAAGGGACAGGCTCAGGACTACCGCCCTCCCTCCGCTCATGCAGGAGTGAACACCAACAGGGAACCCCCCAGGTCCCAAACACTCACTTGCAGACAGGACACCTCCAAGTCCCCCGCTCACAGTTGAGCTGCAGGTACGACTCCAGATCAAAGCACTGCAGAAAAGGGCAGTACAGGTATTGGGGCACCCTTGCCACAGGGCACACCCTTTGATACACAACGCCACTCTTTGTCATGTATTAGCTGCATGTCTGCAAAGACTTCTGCAGCTTAAGTTTAACAAAGACTGCAGGCAAGCACAAAGTCCTCGGGGTGACAGTGAAAATCATGGTGGGCACCGCTAACCCAGACAGGGGCCCGTGGCTGTGCTGGTATGGAACCACCTCCAGGACTTCACTGTTTAGATGGAGAGACAATCTAGACACAGAAGTGTGTATACAGTACAGTGCTACATATGTAACCAAGAGGGGTGGTGGTGGTGGTGTGCCGTGGAGTCGGTTCAGAAGCAGTGACCCTGCATAGGGTTTCCGAGGCTCATTCTCTTACAGAATGGCTGGTAGTTTTGAACGGCTGACCTTGAGGTTACAACTTGTAACCACTAAGCCAAGCTCTTTAACTAAAAAGTGGGGAGATTGCTTAAATGTACAAGCACACCTTTATAAATTCTCAGTGAGGCTTCAGTTTCACTGAGTATTCTTTTTAATTTTGGAAACCAGAACCACGTGGATCTAATATCCAATGGAAGAGCTGCTCCATCATGGCAAGTCATAGACAGACAGATGGCAAGGAGCTCAGCGCCCGCTCTGCCTGCTCCACCCACCTGTATGTGCCGACAGTCGTGGCCCCGGGCAGGGAGCTGGATCCTACGGAAGGTGATGGGGCACTTCAGGGACACCTTGATGGCTGTTTGCTCCACCCCATCCTCTCCATTGGGCCCAGGAGTTCCTGGGATGGTGCCACTGCTGAAGTTGCGCTTTACTGGGCAGACAGGGAAGAGTGTCCAAGAACATTCCTGAGACAGGACGGCGAGGTGGGGGCGCCCCCTGGGACCCCATGCATGCAGAGTGGGGCCAGCCACTGGTGAGAGGATGATACTCACTCTTGGTGACGCAGTGCTCAGCTGGCAGGAGACGCTTCTTGATAAGGCCTTGCAGCACCGAGCGGACCGACGGGCGGTGCACCAGCTGCAGCACAAACAGGTGGGACTGCGGGGGGCGGAGGGGGGGAATGGGTCACACACCTGTCACCTGCAGGCAGGGTGCTGGCTCGTCCACATGTAAAGACACAGCCTCCTCTTTGCCCAACCCCTACCTAGTTCTCGCCTCTCCATCAAAACCCAAGCCCAGGATGGAGGCGGGAAAGGCTTATCCACTCTCCCACGACAGCCTTCCTCGCCGTCTGCAGCTCCTGAGCTGAAATCCCCACGATCCCACTCGATGCCACAGTGAAGCAGACGCCAGACTTCCTGATAACCTAGGGTTTGTTTCCAAGGAGCGCCTGGTGCGTCTGAACTGCCAAGCTTATGCTTCAAACCAACGTTGTGGCCCAGTGCATCACCCTACAGCACCACATCAGGACTCTGGGGACACTTGCAGGCAGAGCTAAAAGAGCTTTGTAAGACACGTGGGGCCAAAAGTCAATAAGAGACTTGTCTCTGGGAAGAGGCTGTCCTGATTGGATCATTGAATCCTGAGTGTTCTGGGAGCACACCAGCTCCACACAATATACCACTAGGTCTAGGGAGTGCTTACCAGTCACACACTGCAGGAAAGACGTGAGGCTTTCTGTTCCTGCAAAAAACTCTCAAAGCCTTGGAAACCCTTTAAGGATGGGGTCGTTACGAGCTGGAACGGACTGGACTGCACTTAGCAACAGCACCTGTTGTTCCTCAACCTGAATTTGTAACACAACTCTTATGTTCCTGACAAACCCTAACTCGAGCACTGTCTGTGTGAGTTCTGTGTGACCACTACAACCAATGATGAAATCCAGCCCAGAAGCAGAAAGACTGCTGTGGGAGGCGTCCAGAGGTCAGACGGAGGCTGGGCTGACATCCACCTCAGAGGTGAACTTGGGTGGTCCTGCTGTGGTGCTGTTGGGTAAGCATTGGATGGTTAACTGCAAGGTTGGTGGGTCACACCCACCGGTTGCTCCTTGGAAACCCTCTAAACCAACTTAACGGCACAAAACAACTTCGCTTGTGAACTTAGAGGTCAGATGAGGCCACCATCAAGCCATGTTAGACCTTCTCTCCAATTCTGAGGATGGTCCAGCTCTCCGTAGTCCACTAAATCTAGGCACTCCTTCCAAGTAGGCAATAAGGACCACTGGGGGCTCTGGACACCGGCCATGCCGTTTCTAGGGTACAAAGCTCCAGTCTTCTCTCTCATGTAACTAGCATGAAGTACAGATCTAGTTACCTTAATCTGAATGCTTCATGAAGTCCACCTCTGTAAAGGGCCCAGAGGGAAATGAAAATGGGAACCACAGACCCCTGCCTTCCATCAAGTCCCCGTGCCGTCCCCAGCCACGCCACCTGGCCTGGCACTCACACAGCAGCAGGCCGTGACGGTGATCTGGATGGTGTTCCGGCCCGGCTGACACACATGCTTCAGGTAGAGGGGCTTGTGGGAGGTCTTGTTGTCCCCACGCTCGATGGTGAGTGGCGTGGCATTGACGCTGACCTGCACCGACGCTGGCCAGTTGGTATTCATCTGGCGGTCCTCGTGGTGGTAGCACTTGAATTGTAGCTCGAGGTCGGGCCTGGGTCCGGGGAAGGGCAGGTACGTGGGGAGAGGTGAGCAGGTGCCAGCAGGAGGTGATGGGCTGGGACAGTGTCTACATAGTGGGTAAGGGGGCAGCCCGGAAGTGAGTACCACCTCACCTCAGCATCAGAGTCTTGTAGACAGAGTCACGGAGCTGGAAGACATGGTTGCTCACAGCCAGATTGTGCTGTAGGCGGAAGGGCTCCAGGACCACTCCATCACGGACCGGGAAGGTCAGCCGTAATTCGTCACAAGGGCCATTTCCTGAGGGCAGAGGGCCCAGGCCGGCCCTGAGTGGGGAGGCCGCGGCTGCCCAGCGCCAGAGCACGAAGTACAAAGGACCTGGCTCAGGGTGCTGCACGCCCAGCACCAACGGCATGCCTCCAGGACACTCAGGAAACACGACAGACTCGGGGTTCAGCCTCCCTTCCAATGCAGGGACCACGCAAGCAGAGGGGTGTTGCCTGGCAGGAATGAACCATGCCATAGGCCTGGGTGCACTCCAACGGTCACTTCCAACTGTAACGGAGCCTCTGAAGCCCGATATTCCATCCTGCTCTTGGTGGACTGTCCCAACGTCCCTGAAACTATGGTGAAGAACGGGTCCCCCCAGTCCATTCTTGGTGCTTTCCAAGTAACTGGGAGCCCAAAGAGGAGTGAGGGGCCACCTGCTCACTACCTTACCTCTCAGTTTGGGGTTTCATGACCACACTGTCTGTCAGAAGCCCCAATACAGGGTTCTTCCCCGGGACAGGTTTCAGGGGATTTAACAGCCCCCAGTCACACACAACATTCTAGGCGTGTGGGCATTTTTCTAGGGTACAGTTCACAGCCTTGGACAGACTGGCAAAGAGGGTCAGGAGTTAAGTGCTGCTCAGGAGACTTGGTGACACAATGGTTAAGCACACAGTGATCTATTCTCAAAAATTTCAGTCTCGGTCACAACTGTACAGGTAGGAGTTTTGTAACAAAAAGGAATGAGTGGTTAATCTTACAGTCCAGGAACAAAGGACCCTAGGACCATCAAGGAGAAGAGCACAAGGGGAATGCAGGACCCTACCCAGAGAAGCAGTGACGCCAGTGATGGCGACATGGAGAGAGGGAGCAGCTGAGGACTCTGTACTCATGGAAAGAGAGGGACTGAGAGCTGGCAGCCAGGAGGCAGGCTTGTAGAATGTGCACTATGTTTTTTAAATGATTATATATTCCTGAGTGTATGTGTATATCCCCGCCACAAAAACAGAGGAAATAGAAGTAAATACTGTTGAATGATGATGCACGGTGAAGACTGTAATCGTTGCAATGAAACAATGAGTGTAAAACTAATGTTCTCCCATGTAAACTACCACTCAATTCACAATGAAAACTTAATAAAAACCATATGGGCAGTTCTACTTGGATACATACAGGGTCACCAAGTTGAAAGCAAATTAATGGCACCTAACTCAAATTTTATCTTCAACCAAGGCCCACAACTCAAATTTTATCTTTAACCGTTAGAATTCTGACTTCTCTCATGGTTCCAGGGGTTTCCCCATACCCCAGCCCGTCACCATGTCCTTGAGTATGGACTCACCAGAGGCGGGAGGGTGCAGGGCGCTCATGTTGGGCTTGAGGTCAGGCAGGAAGGGGGACTTGATGTCCTGGCTTGGAGACATGTAGGGGATGCTGCTACTGGGGGTCATGGGTGGCGTGGGGTTCCCAGGAAGTGGGGAGCTGGGGTAGCTGGGGATGGAGCGGGCAGGCTGCAAGGGGGAGCAAAAACAATCAGTGCAGAATGGGGGGCGCGGTGCACTGGACACCCCGAGAACGGTTAGCACAGAGATGCCTGGCTGGTACCCACACTGACTCTGTTGGCTCTCGAGCTGATGGAGCCATAGTCAGTGGGCCTTCCCCCTGTGCCCACCCGCGTAAGCCACCTGTCCGTACCCCACTCAGGCTCGGCTGGCTGTAGCTGAAGGTTCCTCCATTGAAGCTGCTGTTCTGTCCGTTGAACTGGTCTGCAGACTGTAGAAGAGAAAGCCGTGTGAAGACGTCTGCAGCTGGAGCACACCCCACCTCCCAGAGCCAGAGCCAGAGCCACCACTACCCTGGACCAACAGAGTCTTGCTGTGGCACTATGGTTAATGTGCTGGGCTGCAAAGTCGGTTTCAATTGCATGATCGGTGGTTCAAACTCACCAGCCGCTTTGTGGAAACCCTATACAGGGTCACTATGGGTAGGAACTGTCTCGATGGCACTCAACAACAACAATGACTAGAACTCAGGAGTGACCCTATCTATTTCCTTAATGTGAGGTTTCCTTTGTCTGTGGAACAGTGGCTCCACAGACACTTCCGGGATGGGTCTCAGGTTCCCAGTATGTGGAGGGAGGCTCTGATGAGGGACCCCGCGCCCACACCAGGGTCCCGACACAGTGGGCTTTAGCTCTTCAGGAGCAAAAAAGAAGAAACACAACTTTCTTTATGGAGAACCTACAAGTGGCCTGGGTGCCTGCCTGTCATCCTCAAACCAAATGCCTACTGCTAGAAGCACATGGCCCTATACAGCCGCCTGTGCCGTGTGTGTCAGGACCACCAGCAAAGGCCATGGCTGTCCTGTCTCCCCAATGTGCCCACAGACCACCACCCAAGGAAGCCACTGGGGAGATGTTCTGAGCTTACTTCTGCCTCTTGCATGCCTGACTCAGGGCTCCTACCTTGTAATGCGGTGCCGTGGGGCCGGGAGGAGTCAGGTACTGCCCCATGCCCTGCTGTAGGGGCAGCCTGTGCCCGGGGTACGCGGGAGAAGGCACAGGGGGCTGCCCAGGATTGGGAGCAAACTGGGCAGTACCGGCTGCATACTGGCCTCCCTGCAGGTACTGTTGCCCTGGATACACCTGAGTAAGGAAAAGACAAACAGATGGCAGGGGAGGGCAAGGGCCATCGGAGAAATAGCTCCTGACTCTGGGAGCTCCAACGCACGAGGGGTAGAGACGCTCCCCACCTGGGGTCTGCTACAGGGCCTGCTATCTGCCACATACAGGAAGCCTGACCTTGCAGACTGGGGGTTGCTGAGGCCACCCTGGCTGCTAACCCTCACTCACCTCGCTGGAGTAGACTCTCTTGAGCCCCTGTCGGGGCAGCGGCTGGGCCTGAGATGGCCCGGGGTGTGTATGCTGGGGCAGGCGCTGCCCTCCATACAGGGGTGCCATCCCCACTGCCCGGGTCGGGTTCATGCCCACAGGGGAGAGGCCAGAGGGGCCCATCACCGCCCCCATGCCGGGAGGGCTCATGCTGGAGGGCACGCTGGGCCCCCGGGGGCCTCCGTGCTGCAGAAACTGGCTGTTAAAAGCCTGTCCAGCCCCCATCTGGGAAGAGAAGAGAGAGGACTCATCCCAGGGCCCTGAATCACCCAGCCCCAACTGTGATGGGACCATCCCCTCACCAGACTCTCCCCTGGAAGGTCCTAGCACCCCTTCCCAGCTCCATGCCCACCAGCCCCGCCTGCATGAGCTCCAGTCTCTGTTCACAGGTGAGGCTCCCTCTCCCGGCAGCTGGCTGGGCCGTCTCCCGCCTCACCGCTCCGTACTGGCTCAGCTCCTGGCTCTGCTTCTCCTGGAGGGCGGCCACAGTGGCAGTGGCAGTGGCGGTGGCAGTGGCCGCAGCGGCAGCCACAGCAGCAGCCGCAGCAGCCTGAGTGAAGTCAGTGGAGGGCCGGGCTGCATGGGAAGGGAGGCCTAGGCCTCCAGGACCGCTGGGGCCACTGGCATACCTGCAAGAGAAACAGGATCAAAAGCTGCCCCCGTGCACACAGTAGGGGTAAGGGAGCCCCAGTCTTTCCCAAAGCCCATTCTTGGTCACCGCAGCAGACAGGAAAGGCAGAGCCAACAGCCAGCAAGTCAGCTCAACAATCCCGAGGTGCCCACTCAACCTAAGCACTGTGCCTAGAAAGCTCCTCAAATGCCTGCCTGCCAGAGGGGAGGCACTGCATACCCAGTGGTGAAGCCGGGGCCCCCGGGGTAGCCCCCACGGCCATACACCCCCTGCTGCACATAGCCCTTGTTGGCGCTGCCCTCAGCAAATGCTTGCTGCCCAAGGAACTGCGGTGAGTTGAGGGCGGAGCTGCCGCCTGCCATGCCGGGCACCATGGAGCTGCTAGAAGGATTTCCTCCGGGGCCCATGGCGTTCCCCAAGACCTGCCAGGAAGACAGACACACAGTTCAGAGCAACACCAAATGCACCTGTCCAAACAGTTCACTCAAATTGTGGCTCTAAGGTCCTAGAATGAGACTGAGCGGTAGGGAGGGGAGGAGGAAGGGCCGCATCGGTTATTTTGGCTGAAAAGATGATGCAGGAAGCATCCCAGCAAGGACTGAGGAGAAGCGGCATCCCAAGACCTCGGAGTCCAGGAAGCTCTCTCCTCACTCCCAGCTCCACCCTCAGCTGCTGACCTTGGGGGCAGGTATCAAGATGTTGCACGGTCAGATAAGCACTGAACTGCTAACCTTAAGGTCAGTGGTTCAAAACCCACCAGGCGCTCCTTGCAAACCCCATACAGGGTCGCTGTGAGCCAGAGCCGAGTCGACGGCTTTTACCAGCAACAGCAACCATCTAGGTGTAGGTGCTTACCTGACTCTGGGATGTGTTGCTAACTCCCCACACGGTCGTTACCACTGACAGCGACCCTGCAGGCTGGCTGGCACTCTGTTGCCAAGGTATACACTCATATGCAAATGAACCATCACTGTGGGAAGAGACCGGGTGAGGCCCCACGCCCAGATGACAGCGAGGGGGAAGGATGCAGTGGAATGGGCCCTCCCAGCGCAGAGGGCACCTCTCCACCCAGACTCCCCCATGTGTAGCAGGCACTCACCCGTGCGGCGTGGGGGGGAAGGCGGGTTTCATGGGGTTCATGGGTCGTGCAGCAGCCCCAAGGCCGGATCTGCAGTAGGATGGAGTTACCCTTGATGGCACTTATCTGGGGCTCAGCTGCTTCCGCTGCAGGGACAGAGGGGAAGGGGCCATTCACCAAGAAGCAACTGTGGCCACTGGGCAACCCGGCCTTTTCCCGGTGAGCTGGCACCAGTACCCAACACCTTTCAGGGGGCAGAGGGACCAGATCAGCAGCCACCAACTCAGCTCACTCCAATCTGAGACCAAAACAGGGCAAACGGACTGCAGGGTCACGCTCAGGATGTCAGGAAGCTGTCCTGCAGGCCATCACATGACAGACCTAGCCCAGAGTGAGTTTAGGATGTTCTGGCCCTGCCACCTAGAGCTCCTAGAACCGGCCTTGAAAGCATTGCTCAGATTCCGAAGCCTTTCTAGACCCTCCCTCCTGCACAAGGCCTTCCCACTGGCTCTCTGTATACGCGTATAAAGCAGGAGACAATCCGGGCCGCACTCAGCACGTCTGGGGAACATGGGAGCAGAACTGAGAGCAACTCCTCTCAGAAGCTCAGGGTGGGGAGGCCAGGGGGAATGGAGACGAGTGTTGGGAGGGGTCCAGCCAGCTAGACAGAGTTCGAGGCAGCTTAGGAGGCTGGGGTGGCTAAGTTAGGGGTAGAGCCTGACAGAGAGCCGTGGCTCATCTCTTAGGGCTAAGTGAAAACAGGAGGCCCGAGACCACCGTCCAGCACACTGTGGGGGCTAGGATGAAGCAGGGTCTGGATGAGGAAGAGGTGGACAGAGGCAATGGGCTGAAAGTCAGGAGGCAACCACAGGATCGACACCTGGTGCTCCAGAGCAGCATGGCATGGGTTTGTAACGCCAGCTCGCTGGGCACACTGAGCCAGAGGAGCAGCAGGGACCAGACAGCATGGGCAGTAGTGAGACAGGGCGTGAGGTGGGTAACAGGAACACAAGGATTCCAGGGAGGCTGCCTTGGTTCTCCCCAAAACCAAGCATCTGTGCTTCTTTAGCAGGAGAGTCCTCGGCATGCGTTAGGTCACTGATTCATTTCAGTGACAGGAAAACTGAGGACACAGGCAGGAGGCCTGCCCCTGTCTGCACCCATGAGCAGACCCTCTCCACACTCTGAGCACTGGGGAAAGAAACAGAGAGCACCTATCTCATACCTGCCCTCTGCTCTGGGAGGTCCAATGAGCCACACTGGCCCCAGCACTCCCAGAGGGCCAGGGCTCCTGAGGTTCAGAGAAGGGACAAAGGAATTGGGGTTGAGGGAGCAAAAGGAGGGCGAGGGAGGCCAGGTGACTGGCACCAGGTACGCTGCCAGTCCTGATGCCTGGTTCTCTCCTTGCCTCTCCTCAACCCCGTCCTACCTGGAAAGTAGTAAAGTCTGGGACTAACAACTCCACAGGACTCAGGCACATGGGGTGGGGACCTCTTGGACCTGCTGGGCAGGCTTAAAGCAACAGAGCAGGATTTTAAGACCTACTGTGTAGCTACCGGATACAGGCCGTAGGGTACTAATGGAGAGACAGGCACACAGATCAGTGGAAAAGAACCGAACCCCAGATGTGCACCCACACAAGCATTCCCAATTGATGTTTGACAAAGGTGCAAACGTGAACATCTGATGGAGGATGGGGAATCTTTGCAACAAACAACAACAATCCACAGGCAACTAACAATGCTACAATAACTGGACATCCACAGGCAGGGGGAAAACCTCACTTTAATCTAAACTTCACACCTTACACAGAAATTACCTCAAAATAGATCATGCATTTAAATGTGAAATGCAAAACTTTAAAAAAATCAAAGTAGAAATACTTCTGGAAATGGCTAGGTAAAGTGTTCTTACATTTGATACTAAAAGCTCAATCCTTAAGATAAAAACTGATAAATAGGGCTACATCAGCATTTGAAATGTTTGCTGTTATAAGCTCTACTAAAAGAATCATTCCCACCCCCTCCACACACAGAGTAGACAGGGATGGGCAACTTGGACATTGGCTACCCAAAATGGGGGGTGGGGCGCTACAAAGGCAAGAAGTGACTGGCTTACAAGCTTTCAAGAGGGAACCTAGATCCAGAGG